GGAGGGAAGGTCTCTTTGCTGCCCATTAACCAATCAGGGTCTTTTGTTTTTCAATGTACACTCTTCATAAAAATGACAGATGTCAAGAAAACCTGTCCTGAGAGAAACAGGAAGGATGCCATCACTGTACTGTGCAGCGATTTGATGGCTAATGACCGCTACATGGCCTGTTATTCAGAGGGCTACAGGGGGTGCAGCCATGACTGCCAATGTGCTGCCTTAAGGGTTGAATGAAGTGGGGCAACAGCTATTGTACCAAGAGAAGTTTACACGGGCGCATCACAGAGGAAAAGGAGTGTACTGCCACAAAAGCTGCGTTTTTACTTTAACAAGGTTTCAGGCTCTGTTCACACCTAGGCGTATCGAATATGCGCGTATGTCGCGCGTTTCGTGTTTGTTTGTTATGATCTATTCAGGGGTGTCTGATGTAAACACTGCCTAGTGCAGCAATGCGTCGAGCAGAGTGGAGTTCTGTGTTTTGATATAATAGACAGGAGGGGAGTAGGGGAACTTGTGCGGGACATTTAGTTAAAATGTACACCTACACTTTAAAGATCATGCCTTTGATCTGCTCATAGGAGCTCCCGAAAAAAATACATTGTAACAACATTGATATATTGTATTACTATTTATGAACTAAACTGTAACAAATGTTATTTTGCTGATTCACACAGAAGCCACTGACTGCCGATGCAACACAGACATGGCCTTGCCGGGGTGGGCCGATCAGGGGAAGTGTAAGTTGTGTAAGGTTCAGTATACAGTTTCGCGCTTGGTAATCCTCTGTAAGTAGGGTTGCCACCTTTTCTTCAAGTGAAACCCGAACACTGTAGCAACGCGCAGACATTTTTTGGGGAGAATGAGTCACGGCTTATTCATATGTAAATATCACAGTTGGGACTATTTTCAGTGGGGGGTGGGGGGGGGGGGGCAGTAGCCCCCCTCTTAATTTTGGTTGCCCATATCTGCCTGACATCTTGTGTCTGGGTTTCTGCTGCCATGAAACCCGGACTGTCCGGATAAATCCTGGACAGGTGGCAACCCTATGTGTAAGAGGGTGAACCTCATACGCCCAATGTAACTAAATATTGGATGACTAATCTCACCTGCATGAGATCCTCACTGCGTTTTCACTGCTATATGGACGATATAGGTTTATGGACACAGACTACACACTTAGGGGACATTCTTATCAAGCAGTGAATGTGACATTCACCAACTATCTACTGTTAGTGAATCGATCGCAAATGTAAAACATATGCTGCGGTAAGAGTCTTCTTTATAAATATATCCCCCCCACCCTGTTTTGGGGAGATGTCAGCTTTATACATACCGTGTTCAGGAAACAGATGAGATATTTGAGTACGGCGTAGTTATGATCAGGGAGTCTGTGCACAATCTCTTTACAGCTGTTAAAACGTAGGATGCTCTCCACACCTGAAACAACAACAATTAAATACAGAGCAGTGAGGAGGAGAGATCAGCAGAGGAACCCAGTGTTGTATGTTTACACCGTAACAGGTTATTAATTGTACCCCTAGGCTGTCTGATCACCCTCCACCCAAAAGTGAAATGAATTGAGAGTGTAAGTCTGCCACCCAGACACATGCCTCTGTAGTGTGGATTATAGATGTATCTGCATGTAATCAACAGGGCCGGATTTACTCTCAGCGGCTTCCCCGCTGTACATTTAGCCCTTCTTGCCCAAAGTAGGGCTAAATGTAGAAAACAACTACCCCACCCAGAACTGCAGGTCCCGGGCGTCGGGCGATAGGAATTCCACACCCCTGCTGCCCCTCTACTCCCTGCTGCCCCAAGGCTGGGCCTCAGTTGGCCTTTTGGGAAATCAGGCCCTGGTAATCAGTATATTTTCAGGGAAAACAAACGTACGGCTGTGGGGGGTGTGCAGAGCTGAAGAGAAGGAGATAGGGGGTGGGGGGCAGACTAAATTTTGCTATGGCGCCCTGTAATCACTAGTTACACCCCTGCCTGTGTAATATGCATCGGCACCATTGGGAGAGTGTGTGAGTCAGGGTGACAATTTGGGAGAACAACTGGGAGTCAGGGGCATATCGTTGTTACCCTATAAAAGAAAGTGCCTGAACAAAGACATTCATGGCAGGATCACCAGGGAATATTTCAAAGAAAGCTGCTATGATAAACATTTTTAAAAATGACTTCTCTCATTATGTACACCTTAAAAGGAGATGTCCACCCAAGAACAGAACATTCGAAAGAAATTCAACAGATTCCTAGTTTAGGACTGGAGATTCTAAGGGACACAAAATCTAATCTAAGGCAATAGGTAAGTACTACCATTTAAAATGAATTCACTTTTCTTTATCTTTGCATGTGTTTAGTCGGCCTGGGAGAGGTGCTATGATTGCTGCCTCTGGACCCCAGAAACTAAAGCCGCCCATACACCAGTAGAATTTAGTTAAAAAACTTATTTCATACTTTTCTCATGACAAAGTCAATTAAAAGTCAAGCCGAACTTTTAATTCAAATCGGTTACATACATTTCATGCGCAAAAAGGTGAACAAGAGTAGAAACGCCTGTCTCATGCTGCAGAGAAGGACCCGTGCTCTCTGTGTGGAAGCAGTGGTCTCTCTGGAGAGGTCCAATATACACCCTGCTGAGTCAGAGGTAGAGCTCTCCATGAGCATGAGCTTTGCGGATTACAGAGCTATAGATTTGACTTGGCTGAGGAGTGTTGGACCTCTGCAGAGAAACCACTGCTTCCGCACAGAGAGAGCAGCACGCTGGCCGGGGACAGGCTTTTCTACTTTGCAAAGAAACTGTAAAACATCAAACACATTTTGTTTTGATGAATCTGAAATGTATTCAGCTATCCAATTGGGTTTTAAGACCTCCTCCTCCACTGGTGACACCCACCTTCAGCTTCTTTCCCCTTAGCCCACCTAAATCCCTTCCTCCCATCAGCACACAGAACTGGCAATCCCACCCTAAGCCTCATTTCAGCTTTCAGCTACAGGGAATCAATATAATTTCAGCTAATTACACTGAACTGAAAATTCTTCCATGGCCTATGAAGGAATATGTATGTGAACAACAGTTTGGTTATTCAGCAGCTGTAAACTCACCGGTGATCCCCAGGATGCGCCAGTAAGAGTTGAAGGTCAGCAGAGGTTCCGGCAGTTCACGCAGGAAGGTCTTCAGGATTCCGGCAGGTATGTGCGGATTGTTGTACTCATCAAAATTCACCGCCTTCCCTGCAGAGTCACAAGAATACATTGATTGGTTATGCTCATTAATATTTAGCTGTTCAACATACAAAGAAGCTGCTGCATAGTAATTGGATGTTATCAGCAAGTGAAGCATTAAACTACTTCAGAGTCACATAGTAAGTCATTACTGTATAACCTCCCCGCGTACTGTGTTTTATAGAGAGATATAGAACGGGTGTGCATTTCAAACAGAGGAACTGCAAGAAAGGTGATTGTTGTGTGCCTGGCAGCAGCGAGGTGAATATAACTAGGGGGTAACGTCAGGTTTGGTTTTACACTATACTAAACACCTCCATTTTCAGAGTCTTGCCTTTCCTGCCACAGCAGCTGTGCCGTGTCCAAATACAACTGTGCAGTCCAAAAAGGACCAGAGAGTAAAGGTGCCCATACACTGCACGATTCTCGCACACTGCCCGTTCAGCATTGCAGTCATCGGAAGCCCGCCCCTCAGGGCGGCGGGCTTGCGATGATCGCAGGTACGATCTGCCGGTCCAAGATGGGCAGATCGTACATTTGTTTAATTACTTTACAACCCTCGCAAGACAAAAGTCTTGCGAGGGTTGTAAAGTGTATGGGCACCTTTAGACACAGTGTAACAGTAACAGACCTGGTCAGACATCACACACACCTTGTCTACTGTACAATTCTGTGCTGAGGGGTGAGGCTGCTACTCAGCTCTGCCAATACAGAGCCTAGGAGTGGGAGAGCAGAAAGCAATATTTGAGAGAAACTCCATCTTCCAACAAACACATCAGTCACAAATCATAGCATGGAGGGGTAAAGGACTTAAAAGAAATAAAAAGGTTTTAAAATCTGGCCTCTTTTAGTTTTTTCCTTTGACTGTTTCTTAAACTGAATTAACTATTAATTGATAGTAGAGCTAGGTCCTGGGCAAGGATGCTTTCTTTAGAGGAATTTGTATGTTCTCTGCAGTAATATAGTTCCACAAATAATAATAATATCAATCATTTGTACACCCCCCTTTAGCCTGAGGGCTTGTTCACAGTGTCTGGACCATGTTCCCGGGCCAAAAAAGCATCCCAATGTATCCCTATGGTATTTCGGGGCTGTGTTCACACCAATGCAGTCCGTTCCGGACCAGACAAAAAAAAAACACTGCTCGTCTCATTTTCTCTGGTCCGGAACACACTGTAAACGCATGTAAACGCATCAAAAACACATGCAAATGCACTGGAACGCACCTGAAAGCCTATTTTAAGCTAAAAAAATGCACCGGGGCGCATCAAAACGCATAAAAAAATGCAATGCACTGCATTTGGAGATCTGCTCCAGATCTGGTCCAGACATGGTGTGAACATAGCCTTAAACGGTTCTTTAAGTGGCAGGCATCAAACTACCAAGTTGAAATGCACAGATGTAGATTGTTTTACCTGTAATTCCTTTTAGCAGCTCAGGTCACTTCCTCCCACTCTCTGCAGTGACTCAGCAGTTCAGCTCACCCTGCTTCTTCCTCCCAGTAGTGACTCACAACTCCGCTCTCCCTGTTTCCTCATCTCACATTGCTCCTCCATCCCAGCAATGACTCCGCAACTCCGCTCACATTGCTCCTCATTCTACCACTGACTCAGCAGCTCAGTTCTCCCTGCTCCCTCCTCCAGCAGTAAACTCAGCAGCTCAGTTCTCCCTGATCCCCCCTCCAGCAGTAACGCAGCAGCTCAGGTATCCCTGATACCCCCTCTAGCAGTAACTCAGCAGCTCAGGTATCCCTGCTCCCCCCTCCCAGCATTTGCAGGGATCTCAAGTCTCCCTGATGTTCAGGGAGTCTCCCTCTTTTGGACAGCAGCTCCCTGATGTCCGCGAGAGAGGCATTTTCTCCCTGAAAGGTTTACTCTGAGTAAACCTTTCCGGTAAATTGGGATGTCTGCATTTGTGCAACTAAATCCTCTGTTTTTAACGCATACTGTTATACAGGGCAAATTGTTTTGTTGCAGGCTAGCCGGAAAGTGTGCTGGGAAACTTCTGTGTTTTGTATTGTTGTAAGCCCTTCCATGTGCACCTTGCTGCAGAGGCTGGTCATAAATGATGCGTTTGCCATGTATCTTTAGCGTGGCTGCATGCTACTTTAGCCTCAGATTTGATTTGTCGGATACACAGCTGTGTAGTGCAACCTAACTGGACTCAAATTATATCCATTCAGGTTGAACTCAGTCTCCATAGTTGATGGTAAAATGTGCTGATCTTGCAGATCAAATCTGAAAGCGAAGTCTGAAAATGTGTGCGAGGGATCCAGCCAATAGAACGCTCCCACAACGAGGTAGTCTGCATTACCCATGATACACCTGGGCAGCAGCAGGGGCGTCAAATCAAACCGCTGACGGCCTCTAATAATCTGGCTGCTGGTGACATTTCACCTGTCATTACAGAGAAAAATGAACTCAACTCAAGAGACAAACCATTTATTTTTTTGGCGCTGTTTGCCGTAGCGGCCACACGAGGTAACTTCACCCCGAGAGGCATATTTTACGTAGGACGCTAACCTGTTCCATAGCAGTTCATAATGGCCAATATCTCTTCTCTATGAATCAACCCCCCCCCATCCTCCATTCAACAAACTGTAAATTCCTTCAGCTGCGTCCCTAGCGGCATCCATACATCTCCCGCTAACGTGACATCTACATTACAAATGGCTTTATGATTAACTAATTAAATGAGCGGTCGTAGCGGCGGTAAAATAGATTCATTATCAGCGAGGGGACTCGCTTCGGTGCTCCCAGAGTGCTCGGGGAAATACTGACCAAGATTATACAGCTTCTGGATGTCTTTGATGATGTGAACGGCGACTGATCTTCGAAAGAGACCTTCTGTGCGCAGACCTGGGAGACAAAACGAGACGTTTATAGACTTACTGTGGACCGCATGACAATAGAAGTCTTATGACATGCTATGTACACGGGGGCACTAATCCCCCCCTAATCAACATTGTTACCATAATACATTTGAGGCAAGCTTTGTACTTTGCACCACTCCTGTATCACGTTCCTCCAGCCAAAACATTTTATGTTCAAAGCGGAAAAAGAAACAGCACAAGTAATACATAATAATAATACTACACAGCTTTTGCTGAAATATTCACCTGCAATTCATGGTTGTCCCCTGCAGTAAGTTCACTCTGCCACTAGATGCCACCAGTCTTCAAGGTTAAATGACCACCATCATCATTCAACTCACTTCCTGTAAGGTCAGGCTGTCATGGACACACCCCCTGGGGGTTTTTAAACACTGAATTTTGATAGAGTGGGGAACCTCTGTTTTTATTGCTTCTAAGTGGTGAAGCGCTGGCACTGCATGCAAACACTGGCCTGCATTGCACTTTGTGCAGAAAGTCTTCTAGTTGAGCAGGTGTAGGCAACCTCGGCACACCAGCTGTGGTGGAATTACAAGTCTCATCATGCCTCTGCCTCTGGGATCCGTAGCTGGGGCTATAAGTCTTGCAATGCCTTGTGAGATTTGTAGTTCCATAACAGGGGGGGGGGGGACTTTAAGCACACCAGTGTGCCACAAGGGGGCGCTGCAGAGAGAATCCACAAACAAGAGGGATGGCAGCATTTGTTGATAGGCAGACACCTGACATCTGTCAATTGCCTGTCTATTGATTTAATTAGTTACGGATCTTGGAACTGGCAGGAATATTAAGGGTTAATATTGTTGGGTTAGTGCCTCTGGAAGATTTTCATTTTGTTACACTATTTGTTGAGTCTGAAATATGTAAATTTTGCTCCTGTACAGAATAAACATGAACACGCTAGGTCATTAAAGTAGCAATTTGTAGAACATGTACAAAGGGACTCGCTGTGTTTGTACAATTAAAATATAAACTGCTAAATCACGAGACAATTGTTCAGATGAAGGACTGAAATAACAATAGCTAAGGCAGAACTCCTCGCAGATATGAAGAGGAATATAGGAATGCAGATCTGAATTCATGAATAAAACACGAAGGGAGCGCACCACTTGTACAGCCGCGTGCTTTACAAATGTGCTCTGTGCTTTACAAATGTGCTCTGTGCTTTACAAATGAGCTCTGCGCTTTGCTGGCTTTAAATGCGCTCCTCTGGCTTCAGAGTCCCAAAGCTGGAGGAGCGCATTAAAATAAATGAGTGTTGAAAAGAGAAAAAAAAGACATGAGGACAGCCGGTCATGTGACCTGTCAGAATCACATGACTGATGATACTGATGATTGCTGATGATCAAGGAGCACTCTTTGCTGCAATAAGCAGAGACAACTCTTTGGGGCTTTGCCCACAACACACTGCAGTTTGACTTGTGAATGGGATTGACCATGGTTTGCGTAGAGCAGCAGTGCGGATAGCGAAATGTGCTCTCCCTTATTAATGAGCCCCTGACTGAACTTAGTGCCCGAACACTGATGGAGCGAGAAGGCCACATGCTTCTCCATACCCCAACGTGCCAAGGGCAGAGAGGGAGCACACATAAGGTGAGTATAAAGAGGATCAGGGGTGACCTTTGCAAAAGCACGGTTATTTGGCCCTGCATGTCACTTTAAAAGGGAACCCTGTCACCAGACCAATCATTTCAACAACATTTTTCCAATAAGATTATAGGAGTATTTAACATATTTTATTCATGCTATTCACCTGTAAAAGCCTCCCTTGTGAGAGATCCAAAAGTCCTAAAACTGCTGCTTGGTGCCACCATCTTGGATGTGATGTCAGCAGAACCAGCAGGCTCAGAGATTTGACTCAAGTAACACTTTCATTTGTTCACCAGCAGCTGTATAAAAGGTTATTTACGGCGGTGAGGGGCAGAAGAGCTGGGCCAGCACAGACAGTATTTTGACACTCCCAAAAGTGAAGAAGGCTATGACATGCATGGAGGGAGCTGTTCTAGGGAATTGACCCCTCCTGGAGTGTTTGAATTGACCCCTCCTGGAGTATTTGAATTGACCCCTCCTGGAGTAATTAAATTGACTCCTTCTGGAGTATTTGGATTGACTCCTTCTGGAGTATTTGAATTGACCCCTCCTGGAGTATTTGAATTGACTCCTCCTGGAGTATTTGGATTGACTCCTCCTGGAGTATTTGGATTGACTCCTCCTGGAGTATTTGGATTGACTCCTCCTGGAGTATTTGGATTGACTGCTTCTGCAGTATTTGGATTGACTCCTTCTGGAGTATTTGGATTGACTCCTCCTGGAGTATTTGGATTGACTGCTTCTGCAGTATTTGGATTGACTCCTTCTGGAGTATTTGGATTGACTCCTCCTGGAGTATTTAGATTGACTCCTCCTGGAGTATTTAGATTGACTGCTTCTGGAGTATTTGGATTGACTCCTTCTGCAGTATTTGGATTGACTCCTCCTGGAGTATTTGGATTGACTGCTTCTGCAGTATTTGGATTGACTCCTTCTGCAGTATTTGGATTGACTCCTTCTGCAGTATTTGGATTGACTCCTCCTGGAGTAATTAAATTGACTCCTCTTGGAGTATTTGAATTGACCCCTCCTGGAGCATATTGCGGGTGAATCCAATTAATTTATGAGCAGAAAAACACAAAGTTCGCATTTGAAATTTTTGATTTTTTTCTCTGCTTTTAATTTTTGAAGTTGGTGACAGGGGCGCTTTACAGTTTAGCTTCAGCCAAGGCTGTCTTTTAGTTTTGGGTAAAGTGGGGGAAGGGTTAGAGGCCCTGTTGGGTTTTTACTGCTGTCTTACTCTACAGGGGAGAATCCAAGCTAATGTCCCAATAAAAATATTTGTGTTCTTAGACACGGGTGAATTTGATCATTTCTATCCCAGTGACCAGGACAAATAGAGCAGGTGAATCTCCCCGACACAGACAGCAATAAAAACCTGACAGATGTTCTATCCTTCGCTACACTAAAACTAAAATAATTCAGCACAAATGTTTCTGGAAAAAAACAATATTGACCTGTGCAGGAAATACTGATAACAGAACTGAACAAACAGTGAAAGGCTCACGCACTGACATCAGCTGAAGAGGACTCTGGAAAGTGCTCTTTAGGATTCAAGGATGGTGACTCACCGCAATAAGCTCAGTAATTATGTATGTACACCAGCAGAGAGACCCGCCACGCGGTAAGGCCAGCGTAATACCGGCGGTAAGTGAGTGCCTGGCTTTGAAGGGCCACCAGTATTAAGAACCACTTAACCATTCATTTATGATAGGATCGTATGGAGCAGGTTGTATGTGTTTATGTGTAATGCAATACTACAGCACAGAGTCATCTGTACAGAGATAGAGCAGTTAGCACTGACCCCATGTGTAAAGAAGCAGGGATTATGGGAAAGTACAGAACATGTTTTTGTTTTTGTTTTAATTGCGGTTACATTGGCACATGCACTCCAAGAGAATCAATGCATTCCAGAGCCCTTACCTTTCGCTTTCAGGTAGGCAATTGTCTGTTCCATAACCGGAGGGATCAGCTCTCCTTTGTTTTTGTTCTTTAGGCTGAATAAAATAAAAAAGATCAGATTAACAGGACAGAACTAAGGCCATTCCCCTTCTCAGTCACATGCCTAGTTTCTTCTGAACTGATGGGCCGAATGAAGGCTTATTCCGAATGAGCCAATTATGTCTGAAACTGCTAGCCATGGATTAAAGGTCCACTTTAAATCAGATCTGTAATCATAACATGACAAATGTTTTATTAACCCCTGGAGTGGGGATACCCTGCTGGTTTTTGATTAGGTAAAAAAAAAAAAGTTACACCCGTCTAAACTGCGGAGCCGGTTTGCTCTTCGACCAGTACCTGGAGCCTCTCTCCACCTCTGCAGCAGCAGTCTAACGTCCTGTGAGTCATCATGTTCTATACACTGTATGAGGAGGAGGCAGGGAGGAGGGAGCACCGTGACCGTGAGCTTCAGGTGAGTGTAACTTGGGGAGTATCCCCCTTCTATCTTCTTTAAGTACTAAATCTGTTGGATCAGAATGTCTGCCCAGCCTCTAGTCTTTTCAGAAAGGAAAGATCACAGTTCAAACAGCAACTCTAAATATCCATATATTTAGACTGACTGAGCATCACTTCTACGTGATCCTCCGGCAGAGGATTAGCTCTCTCCTTAAAGAGAACCTGTTACCAACGGAAAAGGTTGGAGGTAAAAGCACAAGAACATCAAGTATTTTAAATGCTTACTTGCAGTGTTTTTCCTTCCCATACATTATTTATTTACGGACTTGTAATGTGCTTTGACTACTCAAATACTAGTCAATGGCCTAGCATAGCCCCCTCCATCCTTTCACCCTATAACCCTCTCCTCTTTTTGGAATGTCTAATTACGGTGTGTGCTGACACAGCTCCTACACCCCTCACCTCCCTAGCTAATCTTTTATGTTGCTGCCGGGGAAGGAGCTAAGGGGAAAACTACACTACATCACATCCATGATGGTGTTACCCAGCAGCTTTGTCAGGGCTTTTGGATGTCTACACAAGGGAGGCTTTTACAGGTAACAAAAATACATCAAATGCACATCTGATCTAATGGAAATAATTTTTAGTTGAATTAAATGGCCTGGCAACAGGGTCTCTTTAAGGCTAATGTCACAGTTGGGATTGCAATGGAGGACACAGCAGGGAGGTGAAATACTCACCTGCTTAAAGCTATGTTCATACCATGTCTGGGCCAGGGACATGCAAAGCAGGCGAGTATTCACTCTGCATATTCTAGTGATCCAAATCACTAGCAACAGGATCGTAAGTGTGACATTAGCCCAAAGATTTCAGAGTAAACTGGTGACTTCAGCATCTTTTCTTTAAAGGATCCCGGAATTGGCTGTTTATAGTGTTTTTTTTAATTTTTATTTTAATACCAATTTTTTTGCCATCTGATTTGATACCTTTAAAAATGATATAAAATAATTTCCTGTCGTCTGTTTTACTATACAAGTTTAAAATCCATGGAGGAGAGTCTTTCTTAGAATACGGTCTGTAAACAGTTCAGAGGAGTAAAGATTTCATGGAGAAAGGTGTAAATCTACTTCCGTATCTCTGCCTCCACCTTTCCGTGATAATCATTTCTGTGTAACGATCTGTGTAGTTCGTATGGCGAGCTGAGCCACGGAGTCTCACAAATTATTGTTGACCCCAAACGGTTCAATAAACAGCAGCTCGCCGCTAGATGAGTAATGAAAATTGAACAGTGTGATTCTGGAGAGATCTCGATAGCAGTGAGCAAAGGAGATCTCCGCACTAGGAACATAGAAAGTGATTTTATCATTTATTTATTACAGGCATTTATAGAGCGCCGACCATTTACGCAGCACTTTACATACTGCACATTCACATCAGTACCTGCCCTCAAGGTATGCAGTGAGGGAAGGGTTAGAACTCTGGACTAGTTTGAAATTCTGCCCGTATCTCCAAGGAAAATTGAAATGTCAGTTTAAATCAACTAAATACATTCCACGGGCATCAAAAAGGTGTGCAAATTACTTTGTTTAAAAAGCAGCCACAGTCTGAATAGAATAGCCTGTCCCTACCAGCATGCTGCTGAGAAATGCTGTGTGTGTGTGTGGAAGCAGTGGTCTCTCTGCGGAGGTCTGACATTGCCCATAATAAAGATAGTGTCTGTTCCTATCTCAGTTCTGCAAAGCAGTTCATTTCTAAAAATACAACATCAGTTTTTTCCTGCATTTTAGTGCATTGGGAGGCCTATCGACGTCAATGGCAACACATCAAAAGGCATGTATATAGGGCAAGGCCCTGCCTAACTGGATACAAAACAGGATGGGTGCTATGGTAGGTCCTCATATTGCATAACTTTGGAAGATCTTAAGAAGATTGTACGTGAAATGTACAATCAATGTGTATAGCCAGCTTATTTTTTTTAATCATAAATTCAAATTAAACAAATATACATTACCCAACAAAGTATTTCTTTACAGTCATAAAGAGCTCCAACTCTCTTCAGCTCAACTTCCCTGTACTTCCTGTCTAGTACATGATCTCAAGGGATCACACAGTCTCTAGAAGATGTCCATCTCTACTGACTTAGAGAAAGAAGGAGGGGGGAATCAGGGGGAGGCAGATTGGTTACCTTGCTGTGCTTGTGTGGAGACATACACAGCTTACTAGCACACACAAGGGTGGCTCCATAGGACCCTGCGAGGGAAAGGAGACACCCTGAAACAGGATATCAGGGTCAGTGCTCAGGGGATCTACTGATTCCTAAGGAAGCTAAAACTATTAAACATCAAGGCACAGCATCCATTTTAAGTGATTTAATCAGGATTAAAAACCTTTAGACTTAAATATCACTTTAAATGCACATTGTTCCTGATGCACAGCTATTAAAGATCCCATCGCACTCCAGACTAACTTATGTGTTCCTGCAACTGCAGTGGGCGCTGAAATGGCGCCACAAAAACAATAGAGGTAATGAGGTCACCAGCACACCAATCTGTCCTGTATTGACATTAAATAAACATGTCATCACAAAAGATCTCAACGGATCACAATTTTTCAGAACCAGTGTGGTCCCTTCATCAGCCAAGACAATGTGACACATTGCCTGATCTTTTGTGATAGATAAACATGCTAGCGTCAATAAAGGATGGGTTGATAATGTGTGGACCTCCATGGAATGGTGACCTCATTACCTCTACTGATGCAGAATCATGCAGTACACTCCACACCAATGAAAAATGCCTTGTGAACGGACGCCAGAAGTGAACCAAACACGCCGCGTACACTAGCCCTTAGCTGGACTTTAATTTGATTGCTTTCAGTCCAAGTACCAGCATCATCGAGGTAGATGCAATGCAGCGCCAGAAATTACAATCATGAAAGTCATCCCGCTACTTGTAATATTCCTCGAGACCGACAAAGCCATTTTCAATCCCCGTTCGGCAGAGCAAAGGGCTTCGCCGTCCTCACAAATTCAATTTTACTTGGCAATGAATTTCTTTTATCAACTGAATCAGTTTCCTCGAATCGCCGGCAGCGATGACACGTCCCTTCCTGTTCTAACAAGCCCGGGTAATTGGATGCTTTACACTAGTTGTTGGGAACTAATAAAGGAAGCCTGGAAATGTCTTTGGCTGACCCTTTGTTTGGAAGGGATTAAGCCTTCCCTATTTATGTCATTAGAGCGACATTCAGTCAAGGTGAACGTGTTACTTTCTTTTTTAAATAAAGTTATTTCTCGGTCTGAGTGCAATGCAAGTGCACGAGGAGGAAGACTTGACACTGAAACACCTCAGCAATTTTCACCGATCTACTGATTAATTTCTAGCCTCGGAGGCCCTTTGCGAGAGCTTAGCTGAAGTGTACGGGGGGGCCCAACACCAAGGGATCAGGATGACCATTACTCCACCAGTGTCAGGTACAATCTAGCCCACCAGAAAAATGTGCCCGCAAAGGTTCCCGTTAAATGAACTAATTACGATAGCGTGGGAACTGGACCATTTCATTCTCTAAAAATCCCACAGTCCAGTCCACTGTGATTATCCATTACAGTTGGTATTACTGGAGCCAAAAGCCCAAGACAGTAGATTGCTGCACTTCCAGCTTTAAAAGTGGACCTCTGGGTAAAATGAAAATGACATACTGTATGATGCAGTCTGACACTAGCAATCACACAAATAACAGGAGTGCCCCCGGCCCCGTAACATAGTTTAATTACCTGTGGATCCTGCCAGTAGATCCAATATGTTTCCACTTTTTTTAACAGGGTGACAACACTGCTTGTTCTGCAGTGAAATTGTAAAGCAGTGTTGTCACATTGTGGACAAGGCAGTCTTAGATTGACGTTAAGTAACAGGCAAACAAATTATAGCCTAAAGTTGGCCATACACTGCTCAACTTTTGTTTTTTTTGTTTTGCTGTCAGAATACTGCAGCCCGGCAGCAGACAGTTTAGTGTGAATGAATGAAAAAACCACATGTACATTTCTTGCCTAACTCTAGTGAACACTTTTAAATCAGTTACAGCAACTTTGGGGATTTTGAGAGAGAAAAAAGGCCTAAAAAAAATGAATACACGACCGTTTAACCGTTATATGCACCTCACCGTTATATGATTTGTACTAACCCCTGTAAATGTCACTTTTGCTGCACACTGACTTTATTCACTGAATTCTGAGTTTTTATTAAGTTAAGTTAACAATGTATTAATTCTGGGATTCAAAAAAAGTCAGAATTTTGAGTTTGAATCTCAGAATTCTAAATTTCACTCTCAGAGTTTTGACTTTTAACTCAGAATTATGAATTTCAAATCGCAGAATTCTGACTTTAAAACTCAGAATTCTAACTTTGAAAAGCAAAATTCTGACTTTTTTATTAAATTAATTAATTAAAAGTCAGAATTGCGTGTTTAAAAGTCAGAGTTCTGAAATGTGTGATTTAAAGTCAGAATTCTTACAATTCTGAATTGAAATCTCAGAATGCTCACTTTTATCACAGGATATTGAATTTCAAGTCAGAATTCTGAGATAATAAAATAAACAACTTTTAATCTTAGAATCCTAACTTTCAAAATCGTAATTCTGACTCAAACTCAGATTAAAAATCAGAATGATAATTTCCCAAGTCAGAATTCTAAGAATTTTAACTTTGAAACTCAGAATTCTGGTTTAAAAGTCAGAAGTTTATTTCATGAATTTCTTTTTGGATGACTCCAGGGCTCTTGCATACATTATGAGCTGTTATAGGTGAATAATTGGCATCATTACAGTTTTGCTGGCTGTAAAGCCCTGAACTCTCTATTTGCTGTAGGATATTAACCTGGTAAGCATTATTTGTTCTATCTGAAATTAAGAGGGGAAGGGCGGAAGTATAACTACACCATATGTCCTGACAGATAAGGGGGTGATGGCTCACTACTAGGGCAATTCTCAGCCGGCTCTCTATATGACCTGTCTGCCTGGGAAGAGTGATAAATGAAAATTGAAAGAGCTCATTTTATATTATCCAGCAAATAATGGTTTGTTTTCTGCTTCCTCATACAAAATGTGTCATTTAATTCAATTTTGTCTGCTGGATCAGAAGTTCCATTTTGTTTCAGCAACAGCTGCCACTGTTTATACATCATATCAATCTATCAATGAAGAACAGAATATATCCAAGCCAAAATGCTCTAAATTAATGGTCAATTCCAGCCAAACAAGAAAGTTTTTTAACTTGGAACTTTTTTAGGGGAAGAGTCAGGAAGGGATAGAATCTTTTCAGGGCATTCAGTCTATGATGGGCAGATTGTAAAATATGATAATCACACAGGAAGTTAGGAAGAATATCTACCAGAGACAATGACAGCTATACACAGAGTTTATAGTGCTTTCCCACACTATCCAGAGCGGAAGAAAGCAAGGTTTTGGTTGGAGTTCTGCCATAAACTGACTCGGTGGGGTATGGTGCCTGCTGGGTGGCTATAATATTGATCCAGATGTTAAAGTGACACTAAACTCAGGAGTTAAACCATACAAATGCATATAGCACCTTAAGGGAGAAATATGAGGTGAGTGATTTACACTTATCCCCATAGTTCGAGCTGACGTGTGACATTGATACCGTCAACGCATACCGTCGATCGCTCACTTCTCAATCGCCTCCCTGCAGAGAGTGGTGACTGTCAGTCCCCGCAGGGATTCCTCCCTCCCCCATTCGCCGATCCTGGCTGCGGCACTCTCAGTATATAAATGGGAATAGCTTGCTAAATACTGAGCTTTGGGTCACGGGTAGAGGTTAGGATATGTTCTCCCGTGACCCTAAAGAGAACTATGGGGTAAAAAGGTTACATCATAGTTCTCTTTTAACTTTTAACAAAAATGTATCTTATTTGTGTATCACTCAGCTGTAGATCCTGAAATCATCTCTGAATTAGTGCTGACACTGTCCTTCCTTCTGGAGGGTGGCTACTTTTGTTCCCCATGGTCCCTGTGTGTGTTGTAAAGTAGTCACCCCAAGTTCGCTCCCGTGATGGACTACAATCTCGTGTTTAGTTTACTCATTTGTATTGAGATTGTAGTCCATCAAATGTACACTGATATACATGTGTCGTCACATGAAATTATATAATAAAATATTTACAAAAATGTGAGTGGTGTACTCACTTCTGTGAGATACTGTATAAGATTATGTAGGGAGGTGAAAGTTGGAGGAGGGTTCTCATATTCATCCTTTCCAAGAGTTTCCCATGAAATCATAAAACGTTTTATGGTTTAATTTTCAGATCACTAAAAGCAAAGTGGTGCAAACAGCAAAATATCATGACTTCATTACACAAAGAGATATCATGGACACTCACTATTCCAGACTGACACCAAACTGCTGCGCAGGGAGTGGCGGTCGTGGCGGAGGTGCTCTAGTAGCAGCTGCGGCTTTTCCTTTCTGCTGGAGGCGGAGCTTTTCATCATGTCTGGAAGGTAAGTTGTGGGTTAAGCATCAACATTTGATCTGTACTTTTGTTATCTTTGTACCGTAATGAGCACTTCAAATCTCAATTGACCGGGTTTTGCCCGTGCTTGCCAGATATGATCACCATTGTTATAAAATCATTCTTTTATGCAGGTACACTCGCCTACCTATATCGTTTTAATTAGACATTTGCACTGGGAAAACATTTGTTTAGTTTAGTTTTGATTCAGATTTTGCTTTATTTCGGGAATCGGGTCCAAAAGTCAATTAGTTTCGGGATTGGGATTCAGACGAAAATTCGTTAGTCTGTATGGATTGTATTTTTCGTTTTCGTATTCGTTGCAGCAAAGTGACATTACAAAAATGTTTTTTTTTTAATGTCACTTTGCGGCAATGAAAATGCGTACAGACTACCGCTAACGAATTTCATCCGAAATTTAGTTTCCAGAAATTCGGATTAGTTTTCATTCGTCATTTCTGTTATTCGTAAATTCAGATACATTCGAATCTCCGAATAACGAAAATTCATCCGAAAAACACATTTTACCCGAAACGAATCGCACATGTCTAGTTTTAATTTATGATAGACGGTCTAATAACGAGCAACATCTAAAATATATGAAAGCCTAACCAATGGTGTTGAGATGAATGCAGTGTCTAAAGACATTTCCTCAATGTGCCTGCAGCAACCCTGACATTTTGGGTTTAAGGCCCCATTCATTTCATTTCATTTGTAAGGCACATAGGATTGAATTGCCATTACCCATGTTGCTGCTGAGCTAGCGTTAGTCTGTCTCATATATGAATGGTCTTCCCACCCTCCTGCAGCAGGATTAACAGTTCCTGCTGTTTCAATAAAACACAGCAGGGAAAAGGGGAGGACTTAACAGGGAGGGGGGTGGAGCATAACACCACTGGGACCCTCACATACAAATAAAATGTCAATAAAAAAAACGTATTTATTTATTACAGGTATTTATAGGGTGCCAACATTTTACCCAGCGCTTTACATACTGCACATTCACATCAATCCCTGCCCTCAAGGAGCTTACAGTCCAAGGTCCCTATTGCACAAGCATACAAGGGCAGGAAACCGCAGAACCTGGAAGAAACCCACGCAAGCACAAGGAGAACATGCAAACACTTGTGCTTGGGAGTCCATCTCTGCCATGGTATCTGCATGCTGCCAATGACCAGCTGTGCTATAGCTCTAACATACATAAAGCATTTTAGAACTGCCTGTCTGCTAAGCTTGTCCCTTTTTCCTCATCTGCTCCGTCAAAATCAAATTTGACAATTAATAATTGCTTTTTGACCAAACATTGTAAAATCCACACTGCAGTCACAATTACATTTCCTTATAGTAGGGGTGGGCAACCTTGGCACTCCAGCTGCGGTGAAACTAGCAATTTTTTTTTTGTTTTAACTTGGGGGAAGGTCCCTCCTAACATTCCTACCAGACCTAAAGGGTCTGGTATGAATTGGGGGGGAACCTCACGCTTTTTTTTTTTCATGTTCTGCAGACTGTAAAAAAAAATTCTAATGTCACTTTGCTGCTAACGAAATTTCGTCCAATAAACGAAATTTCGACTGGACTACCGCTAACGAATTTCGGGAATTCGGATTCGTTTTAGCTGTAATTCGTAATTCGGATGCATCCGAATCTCCAATTTTCCGAAAATTCGTCCGAATTTCGTTTGGGAACTAAATGAATCACACATGTCTAATGTAGACTTGGTGTGATTGATGCCACTAGTCTAATTTAACATTCGTCCCACATTTGACACCCTGTGCTCATTTACAAACATGGACACATCTATCCTCCACCTGGGTTAACACAAGAGAGAGTGGTAGTGAGCAAATGCTGTGGAAGGCAGCCATGCCAATGTACTCAAATGTGTTTATTTTACAAATACGGTGTTCTGCCGCAAGCGGCGGCCATATTGAGTGGGGCAACTCAGATGAATAACGTGCGGGATTACTCTGACCCTAGTTCATTTGAATACTTTATTGCTGTGTAGTATGTGTATAGGGAAATGCCGCAGGTGGCGCACGTGCATAGAGCCTTCTCGGCCAAACCTCTTCTAACTAAACTGGAAGTCAGGTCGTTGGAGATCTCGTCAAGTTGGAACTTTTGATAGAACAACGGCCCTTAGTACATTGTAATATAACAATACTCACTGTAACACTTCCTGTGGAATGATGAGACGGTTAAACCGGAGATGCTCTTGAAGGTCACTTAGGTGGTTCATGTAGGAAATTTTCTTGCCAAACTTGTGACTGAATTAAAAAAATTCAGACATTAAAATATTACTATTAAAAGAATAAATTTAAAACTAAAATGAAAAGCATAGTGGATACATGAAAATCTGCGGAAATCACAAAATATGAACAAAAAACTTTTTTTCTGCTTTGTATCTGTCTGTAGGGACCCATAAAGACAGATTTAAGACCCCTTTTTGTTGCGTGGTCCAATAAGGATTGGAAGCCCAATGTTAGTTTGTGTCTGTTTACATCCGATTACCCCAACTCCAATCAGGTCCGGAAAACAAAATGGATCAGATGGATCGGGGGTAATCTGATGTAAATGGATACATAGACACAACAGGATACATAGGCCTAACACAGGTCAGCCAAGTTTGTTTTTTTTCCTCCGCCGTAAGATGGAGACAAAAACTTTACGGACACTGATGTCAGTAACAGTAACATATGTTCCGTTCTGCTCCGATCAGAAGGGGATCCATCTTTGCTGGTGTTGGAACTGACAGGTGCCCATGTGGCTAAATACACATACAAAATACATATAAGTGAGCCGTTTTACCGGTCAAGGATTTGCATTTCTGATCACCCAATTCTGAGATTTACACAGCCAGACTTTTTTCTTCTGCAGGTATTAAATAAAGCTAGGTCACCTCCCTGCTCACTCTGCTCTCCCCTCCTTTCAGCATATTTCCAACCAGCACATAGAAATGCAGAGCACCTGATTGGCTCCTTGTACTCTCCCTCCCTCTTCCAGCCTGAGCTCTGCTATACAGGGTATTGCCATACCAAGGTAAAAGCGGGTTGGAAAAAAATGAAAATCAAACATTGAAAAAAATATAGAATAATGTTTATAATATTTGCCTGAAATTCATCATTAAAAAATGATTTGACAAGCTCTAGCGATCAGGTTTTCCTGGAGTCGTCCTTTATTATGGCAGCATAACGTGTCCATGTCAGAGACGGATTTCTTGAGTTAATGTTATCATACGGCGCAGCGTGAGATTCCTATACAGTGACCAATTTGTCAGGTGCTTGGTGCAGTCAGATGAGTACATTACATCTTGTCACCCCGACAGAGCTTGTCAGTTTCAGAGAATCTAATTCATGGCGAGGAGGACTGCACAAAAGATAAAAGGCAGGAACACGGCATCGCGGATTCGGAGGCTGAGCGCGAACAGAGCTTACGATAACTATCACAGCAAATGCTTATCACATGAAAACTTAATTGCATACGAATTTATGGCAGAGAAAATCAGGCCACAAAAGGAGCTGCGTTGGCTACAGGGGGCGTTTAGAAAAAATGTTCTTTCTTGTTGGGTGCTGATGTTAAAAGAGAACCTGCAGAGAATGTACAGCAACAAATGTTTTTTGGTTATTTAAAGCGCCACTCCAACCCATGCTTTTTTTTGACAGAATATTAGAAACTCTGTCAGGATATGATCACTGTTTTTTTAACCCGTTGATGAGATTTTCCATTATTTCCTGTGTTGTCACGAGACAGGAAGTAAGAACAATCTATCCCAACAAAATCAACTGTCTTTACTCACCTTATCACCGGCTTGAATATTTTCCACAGGACTTTGATGAAGTTAGTTGGATGCACCACATAAAGCGCCTTTAGATTCTTTTTGTACCTGATATGGAAGAAACAGCTCTCTTAATGTATATGTCAAGCCAAATCTTTTTTTTTTCTAGTATTGGATAGAGTGGGGAGACTTGCTTTGCCAGACAGGTAGTGAGAGAAAATCTGCAATGGGGCAAACAGCAATAAAGAAAATAAAAAATAACAAAACTTTATACTAACAATAGAAAAATAAGAATCAAATATACAAAAAAAAAGCAATAAACACAAAAGCCAACACTTAGGGGGTCTGTTTATAAACAATTTGCAGAGCCATTCACCCTTCGTATCTATGAACGTTTGTTCTGTGTATAACAGGGCAATAATTAACGTTCTTAGTATATTTTCTTTTCAGGTAGAATGTAATGTAATACTGCATTATGGCCACTAGATGGAGAGGAGGAGCAGAGCACATAAATATATCTTTCCTCCTCAGCTCCATCTAGTGGCCAAAGAATATATCTTTCCTATGTGCCTCAGGTCCATCTAATGGCCATAATGCGGTATTATCGGTATTCTATCTGATAAGAATTGAATTGTTTTTGCCTCTATTCGCAAGAAGGGACCTTCGCAGAGATTCCAAAGGGTGAATAGTTCTGCAAATTGTTCATAAATCATAAAATAAACAAAACTACGAGGGTGTCTTTTGTTTTATATTCCTAAGAAATTTCACATAAGCAGCTCAGCGAGCAAAATCCTTCCACTCATCACTATTGGTGATGGCCTATGTGATCGGGGTGCAGCAGGGGTGTAACCATTGGCTAGATATTCTGCGCCAATGTTATCCCTCTTCCACATCTCAGAAGGTTGGGAGGTACATGTGACATTAGTGGATAATTAAAGGGACCGCGCAGCATTGTCATTTACATGTCCTTAGGGCGGCATGATCGTGAACAAACCTTTACAAAAACTTTTTTTTTTTTTTTAAACCCAGTTTCTGGTTTTCTTATCTCAGTCACAGCATATCTAGCCATTATTCTCTCATCACTTTGAAAAGTGTATGTTGTAGACACACATTCCCGTCTATGCCAATGACAGTGAAATTATTGGGGTTATTTTATCATCTGTCCCTATGAAGTCTCAGAAGGCTGTGATATCCTGATTTCAGCGGCGCAATTGTCAGGGAAACAGAGAGCCACAAAAGAGGCCATCAAAGACTTTCATCAAAAAAATGCGGTTTGCTAATAGTTTTCCAGCCAAATAAGATGAAATGAGCGTTTGATGGGCCCTGCTCTGTATACGTGTCACGTCGTGTTATTCCAGCCTTCCAGATAGTGATCTGCATTGTTATTATAGATGATAGTGAGCTGGTGAAAAGTGGCTTTATAATAAGATCCAGTGCTACTGTAAGCTGCGAGATGATCTGATGACACATCTCCCAACTGTCCTCCGTATTAACCTAAATCACGCTGCTCTTATTTCTTCCATGGGTGTTTCTCTTTTACTTCTGATGTATCTCAATACTGAACTATAAAATATTACTTAAAGTGACAAGAAGCTAAGGAGGTAAACCTTAAAAATACATTCAAGTACCTTAAGGCCTGGTTCACACCTGTGCGTATTGCATAAAAGTGGATATACACATTAAGTGCGTTCAGGTGATGATCAAAGTGGCATTTGGCGGCATGGGCAGTGGGAAAGGTAAGCAGTTACAATCTACTCTGCAGGGATAACTTTTATTTAGTGTATCAGTTTAGTGACACGTGTACTGCATGCACATTTCCATACATACATACTTCCTGTCAAATGCCTTGTAGGCACTCTGCAGCCAGCTGAGAGAGGGTTTATTGCGACTGTTCAGGCCATAATGAAAATAGACAACCGTGTAGTCATTCTCCACATACTGATCTAATGTAAATTTCAGGTATCTGAAAAACAAAATAAATTGATATTAAATTAAAACCGAATCGCAAAATGCTAATGACAAAGACCAGGAGGTCCAAACTACAGTTATTAAAGGTGGAGACTACAAAGCGGTCATTCTTTTCCTCACTAGGACTGAGGGCTGACGTTCGTGTTTGGACTGATGTAGGATTCTGTTCAAACTTTGGCTCTTCGGCAAACTAAACTGGGTGTTTGTCTGCCGCTGAGTCAAACATTTGTCTGCAGCAGGAAGTCATACATTTATCAACGGTATTACTTCTGCTGCTAAATGTGATAGCTGCCCACTCAGGGCTCCTGGTTACTAAAAAGCCAGCGGCCACTGGCGGCTCAGCAGTCACACATCCCTGTACCCATTCATCTCCTAGCCGGGCGATTCCCGGCTGTAAAGGACAGCTTCCCTTTCAGGCAGCAGGAATGTAAACATAGGGGCAGGGATGCTGGATGACACCACTGACCAAATGTGGCCATGGCCATATTTGGTCAATGATTTCGATTGACGATGGATCTACATGGCCATATCTGGTCAGTGATATTGATTGACGATGAATCTACATGGTCATATTTAGTGAATGATATTGATTGACAATGGACTTACATGACCATATCTGGTCAATGATATTAATTAACGATGGATCAAAATGGTCATATTTGGTCAGTTATATTGATTGATGATGGATATAAGTGGCCATATTTGGTCAATTATATTGACTGACAATGGCTCTACATTGCTGGACAAGGGAGTAAGGGCTTTCACGTAAGGGAAGGTGCAGATTTCTTAAAGCAGGCTTCCAGATTCCAATGAGCCCACCGCCCACATTCTCTTAGGGACCTGATGTGATGAAATGGCTCTAGTCCCTATCAAGGAGCATTGCCAAGGTGGAAGGAGAGGCTTCACCTTCCTCATGACAAGGTACCCTTACTATGTTGAGGACAGGTGGCCTGGTTCAGGAGGTAGTAGTCCTTTTTTTTTATTTTAGCACACCCCCCACCCCCCCCCCCCCCCCCATATCCATATCAGTGCCCA